GGTGGAAAGGAACCAATAGCATAAGTATTCATCCGACGCCCCCATCATCATCATACTGTTCTGATACCTGCTGTAGTGTTCTTGGGGATCCGTCTTCCCCTCGTATGGTTTTATGGGCTGCCCCCGGTATTTATGGGGGATTTTGGCCGCCAGCACCCTTGGGGTGAAAGGCGTCCTAGTGCAGAGTTGAATGAGTGGCTCGCCGGAGCCTTCGGCTATTTTACGCTTCATTTCTTCCACTTGTGCCCGGAGGTCAGCGTACTCCGGATCTGGCCTTGCTGTGGAAGCCGTCGGGGGTGCCTGACGATTCTCCTCAAGTTGACGGAGGAGGGCCTCGATGATTTCATCCTTGGGATCCTTCGGAGCTACCCCTTGGGAGTTGGCCCGGAAAGATTGAGCCTGATTGATTTGGTGCCTGGCGTCATCGGTATGGAGGAGGGCTTTGCCTTTGCTCCTGGGTGGAGGCATGCCCTCGGCACCCAAAGCGGAGGCTCCACTTTCCTGGGGCCCGCTGAGCGCCTGTTTCCCGAGGTGGTCTTGGACCCCTCGGTGCCTGGGAGCTCCCCCTAGCCTCTCAAGTGCTGAGGTTCGGGGTTTCTCCTTGTTTATAGGGCGCTTGTCCTTGGATTGGGCCTCCTGGGAGCTGGTATCCTGCGCCATGACCCCCTCGGCGTTGCCAATCCCCGGGGGAGGATTGTTGAACAAAGGAGGGAGTGGCGGAAGCTGGATAACATTTCCTCTAGCGTAGGGCTGAAGGGGTGCTTGAGGGACGAAGGCTCCGGAATTGAGAGCCATGTTTTGAACAAAGGCCGCAAAGGCAGCCTGAAGATCGATGGTCGGGGCCGGAGGGGGAACTTGGTTCTCACTCCGATCCCTCCTTCGATTATCAAGGCCAATGCGGGCATCAGGGGCGTTCTTCTGTAGCTGCTGACGGAGGTCAGCAGTAGCCTGCTCCAATTCGAGGATGATACCACCCTCGGGTACCAAGAGCCTGTTGGAGGCCTTATTCCCGTTGGTTTCGCCGGGGGCTACGTGGTTCTCCTCAAGGGTCTTGGATTGAGCACGAGTTTTTCCCATTTTCGGTAGCTGTTTTGTGTTTGGTAGAGGGGAGGGTTTCTTACTTGATTGTTCAGACCTCTCAACGAGAGCACCAAATGATGGACAGTCTACCCGGGGAGTGTCTTATCCGAGGGGTTATTGCGGGAATAACTAGAGAGAAGTCAGAGTAAATAGGAGGAGAGAGAGTCGATTTTATAAAATGAACTCGAGATGTGGATCTGGGATCGTTTACAAGGAGAATTGGGCTGCTATTTATAGCAGCAATAAATGCGATGAGAGTACACGTGTCAACAATCTGACGGCCGAGGGGTCACATCAATCGGGTGGCACCGGCAGTGGCATGTTCACCGCATTGAATGCGGTGGGTGGATGTGGTGTCGCATTAAATGCGGTGGTTGGCTGTCTCCAAAGGGAGTCTTCGATGATTGAGTCCGTTTAGCCGAAGGCTCCTCGCGTAGCCAAGGGCTGCGTGTGGACGAAGGCACTGTGTATGGCCGAAGGCTTCATATATGGCCGAAGGCTTCATGTATGGCCGAATGCTTCATGTATGGCCGAAGGTTCCTCGCGTAGCCGAGGGCTTCGTGTGGCCGAAGGCCCTGTGTAGCCGAAGGCTTGGTTCAGTCGAGGGCCGTTTTCCGCCGTTTTCTCCCAGTAGCTTCGTTTGCCAAAAAAGGCTATCTTGTGAGTTTTGGAGCCTTCGGCAAAGGAAGCCGAAGGCACCCCCAGTGTGTACTCTGTGCTCCTTTGAGGCTTGGGACGCTGCATTCGGGCCCGAGAAGTCCCCTGGGCTCAATGGGCCTGTGTAGTAGAAGTAGGAGTCTATGGGCCGGGGGTTCCTGGGCCATATACTCCATCATCGCCAATAGCTCGAACCTTAAGCCTAGAGAAAGCAGAAGCCCACACCTGCGTGTAATTCTTTACCTGAAAAATAATACTATCTGTGGTAGGCTTGATGTTCTGATTTCCCCACATGATGCTAGAATAATTTGTCCAAACAAACCAACTGATGATCCCATGCAAACAATGTTTAAATATATCCAGTACTGTTTTAGAGCCAGCTCTGAGCCACCAAGCCATGTAAACCTGTATGATAGAACTGCAATTTTGAATTCTAGGAACACCCATGATACCCATAAAATAATTCCAAACGGGATTAACCACCTCACAACTAATCAAAAGATGATTCAAATAGTCTTCATGTTTTCTACATAGGGGACAAATAGATGGGTTTAAAACAATATTAAACCTTAACAACTTATCAGAAGTTGGCAAAATACCATGAATAACCTTCCAATGAAACAGTTTAATCTTCAAAGCTTGTCTAGGATTCCAAACATGCTTAAACGAAAACATAGCTGGCATATCCTCTCTGGCCAATTCATAGGCAGTCCTAAGGGAAAATAAGCCATCATCTTCATGCTGCCATATAATACCATCATTGTTATCCATATCACAATTAGAAACAACAAGAGGGTTAATAGAACAAATCCTTTTCCAGATGGGGGAATCAGTGATTTTAGGGAACATATTAAGGCCTCTGGGATATCTAGCATTAATGAACTTGTTCCAAAGATTGTCCCCAATTATCCATTTCCACCACATTTTGATAGAGAAAGCCTTTTCCAAGGAAGATAGTGATCTCAGACCAAGACCACCTTCATCAATAGGTTTACGAAGCTTAGACCAGACCAACCAATGATGACTTTTCCTATTAATAGAAGTACCCCAAAAGAAACTGCTCATTTTCTTTTCCAAAATAGATATAACTTTTTTGGGCATAGTGTTCGCAACAAGAATATGTAGAGGAATAGCACTTAAGACATGTTTAATCAAAATAAGTCTACCACCCTGAGTTAATTTTTTACACTTCCAGGGGGGTTAATTAGAATCAAATTGTCTAATAATGTGATCACAATACTGAGCTCTGTTTATCCCTTTATGCAGCTTGACTCCCAGGTATTTCAGAGGCAGACTTGAAGAGTTCATACCCTGGATATGCTTCATACTTCTAGTTCTATATCTGGCAGTCTTCCCAGCAATGAAGCAACTTTTCTGCAAAATAACAGCCTGACCTGAGGCTGCCGGGTAATCTTTTATAAATTCTGTGAAATTTTTCAAAGACCTTGCTTCACCATTTATGAAAATCAAAATATCATCTGCATAGCCTAAATGGGAAACAGGAAAACTAACATTCCCCATCCAGAAAGGCTTTATGAGACCACTACCCATTTGGTAATTCAGACCCTTAGAAAGAGCCTTTGAGGCCAGAATGAATAGGTATGGGGATAAGGGGTCACCATGTTTAACCCCTCTCTTAGGCTTAAAGAAACCTAAAGGAACACCATTAACCAAAATAGAGAGATATGTGGCTTCCAAATTATTAATCACCAAGTTAATGAATTGCCTTGCAAAACCAAACCTTTGAAGCACTTCCTGCAGAAATTTCCAAGAAAGTCTATCAAAGGCTTTTGCCATGTCAAGTTTAATGATGACAATGGAGCCTCTGATTTTTTTCTCTAAAGAGTACCATTTCTTGGGCAATGAGAACTTGCTCAGTAATATTTCTCTTAACCATAAAACCAGACTGCTCAACTGAGATAAGTTTAGGGAGAATACAATCAAGCCTTGTAGTAACTACTTTAGTGCAGATTTTGTTAATAAAATTGGAGAGACATATAGGTCGAAAATCAGCAAAAGCTTCTGGATTTCCACTTTAGGAATTAAGGCAATAAGACTGCTTGCCATACCTTTAGGGATAAGGATGCCCATATTAAACTCCTGCACAGCTCTGGCAACATCAGGGCCCACAATCTCCCAACATTTTTTTTGAAGAACTTACCATTAAAACCATGAGGGCCTGGGGCTCCACTCTGGTTTAAACTCCAAATAGCTTTTTTAACTTCAATATCATTAGGAAGATGCATCAGCATATCATTATCTGCCTCAGTGACTAATAATGGAATATGTTGCAGAATTCTCTCAGGTTCAACCTGCTCCTCAACTGATTAAAGATCAGAGAAATAAGAAATTGTAGCCTCACCTATCTCAGGTAAATTATTAATCAGAACTCCTGCTGTATTATGGATGGAATTAATTTGTTGCTTTTTGTGTTTGACTTTCACATAAGAATGAAAAAAACTTGGAATTAGAATCACCATCTTTCAACCAGTGGATATGAGCCTTCTGTTTCCAATATTTCCTTTCAAGAACATATTTAGCCTTTAAAAGAGCTTGAGAGTGAGACCAAACTTCTCTTTTAGCTTCACTAGGGTCTTCTAAAAAGTCTTTTTCAGCCTGGGAAACCTTCTCCTCACAAATTTTGATGTCATAAAAAATATTACCAAACACAGATTTTAATGCCCTGCTTAAGACATTGAAGCTTAGAAACCAGTCCACGCATGCCTCCCCCAAATAGATTTTTATTCCAACTAGATTTTACCACCTCCATGAATGTTGGGTGAGTTAACAAGATGTTTTGAAACTTGAAAGATTTTGGGCCCTGAAAGTTCTCCTTTCTAGATGAGGATAGGACAATGACCAGAAGGAGTTCTTTCTAGAATATTGATCTGAATAACATCAAAACAATCAATAAGCTTAGGGTTAACCAGAAATATATCAAGCCTTCTCCAAACCCTACCGTTCGCCCTAACACCAGTCCAGGTAAACAAAGAGGACAAATATTCAGTTCTAAAGCTACAAATGAGAGGGAAAGTAACAAGAGGAAAAGAGTCACTGAAACCTAAAATAAGGAGGAATAACATTGTGCCTTAATACCGAAACTGTAATAAAGTTAAAAATACAAGAAAGTATAAGTGTGGTAAAACTTTAATAAAGTCAAAAATAGAAGAAAGTATAACTTTGAGCATCAAGAAACAACACTCATAACACTTTTTCTGACCCTTATACCCTAACAATATCCTAACAATATTTACTCTTAAAATATTTGAGTGTAGTGATGGGTGGAGGTGAATAGCCTCACGACTAACAACCATTGTTGTTGTCCTAATGATCTTTCATCTTCCTATTGCTTGCTAGTTTGCTACCTTATCTTCTCCATCAACCCACCCACCCTTCCCCTGAAGAAAATCCAGCAATGGCTGCCACCCTGATATGCGGATGTCTTTCTCAACCATACCCTCTTCCTCTCCCACTCTCTCCAAATCTGTACCTCTCCAAACGTCTTTCTCAAAAGCCACAGTGGATCTCTCTTCGCCGGCCGGCACAATTCTTTAATCGCCGCTTCACTAAAACTCTGTGTCTTCACACTTCTGGAAACCAACCCGACAACAAAGTAAGATAAAGCTTCAATCTTTGTCCTTTATCTTAATCCTATTACATACGCAGTGCTGCAAGTTTGCAACATAGTTTCATTTTTCATATTGTTTATGAGAATGTTTACTTCTTGCATTTTATGTGTTTCTTGCATTGTCATTGATTATCAATTTTGAGGCTTGGCATGATTTTTCCAATTTTGAATATTTGGAGGATTTTTGTTAAAAGAGAATTTATATATACACAGGCTAACACACACATATGATTGTGTGTGTGGGTTTGTATAAGTATGATGTATCTATGACTCTATGTAATATGTTTGCGTATATATATTTACATATATAGACATAGGTATGTGTACACACATAATATAACAATCAATAAAAAGAAAGATATTGTTTGAAATATCCTAAGTTGATTGCTTTTTTGCAGGGAAGTGGGCCTAAGTGGCCAATCTTAAGAAGGTGGGAGGTTCCATGGAATTGGCAAACTGTTTCACTTTCTACACTTGCCTGTGGACTAAGGTAATTATTTGATCCCACCTTAACCAAAGTCTGCTCCGTTGCTATCTTTTAATCATATTAAGAGTATATTTTATCGTCTCTTAGCTAAAATTGATTACTTCCTAATGTGCCATTCATTTTTAGGAAAGGCTAATTGATTCTCAGTCAGTTTTGTTCTGACAGGGCTAATAGAGACCACAGCTATAACATATTATGGAATTCAAACCGAAGACTTAAGCTTGGATGAGAAGTCAGAAATCTTGTTTTTGGATCAAGCGTATGTTCAGTTGTTTTTGCAAACTGTCTTCTTTCATTGTCAGTTTTGTTAACTCATTAAGGGTTGAATTACTATTTAGACCCTTATGATGTATTTTTCTTATTTACTTCTGCAGTATTACAACTGTAGTTGTGCTTGGAGTTCTCTATACTCTAACCAAGTCATCTAAGCCACTTCCTGCTGATATATATCGATTTGGTAATTGTTTTTCATTTTTTTTAACTAATTGAGGTTATTGGGAGGCCATGTTTGACAAATAGTTGTTTGTGTAAATGGTTAACTGGTTACAACAACAACAACATTATCCCAGTGCCACAAAGGCTCCCACCTACGGTGGGGTACAAGGGTCGGATGTACGCAACCTTACCTCTGTACTAAAGCACAGAGAGACTGTTTCCGGATGACCCATGATGAAAATCTAATCGAAAATTGCATGGACTGACTGTTTCTTTATAACAAAAAAGCTCAGACAGTTTAGTGAGCCATTTTGCTTTATTACATCTTATCCTCAAGCCAAAAAATAGTGAGTCTTTGGCTCCATGGGAAATGATGGCAAAAATGGTTAACGGATTATATTAACAAATTCAGATTGGTTGTTTGAATGCGTAACTGACATAACTAGGCTTAAAAGCCTCGAGCTTTTCCAAAAACGACAATAGCAGTGTTTGTATTAGCTTGTGAGAAGTGATTTATCTTAGCTTTAACAACAACATCCAAGCCTTAGTCCCAAAAGATTTTGCGATCAGATTTGGTTAAGTGATTTATCTTAGCTTGTGTTTGAAAAATATAAGTGATTTAATAAATAAGTTGAAGCTGGAGTGTTTGGAAGTAAATTTTGGTGTACTATTTAGGTGCAATACAACAACGATACTATCCCATTGCCGCAAAGGCTTCCACCTACGGTAGGTAAGGAGGGGTTGGATGTACGCATCCTTACCGGGCAGAGAGAGACTATTTCCGAATGACCCATGATGAATATTATTATTTAGGTATAATATTATAGAAAAATGTGGAAGCAGTTTTATGTATCCATCCCCTGGATAGGTACACAGAAAGTTTGGAGTAGAAATATCGTTGATATTGTAGAAAAAAATAGGAATACAAGGGAGGCCAATTCTATCTATCCCAGATCCCAATTCTTCCCAAATCCCAGCCTGCTCCTCTCCCTTTTCTATTCCTTCTATTTATTTTTTTCCAATGAGGTTTCCTCTTAATCTAACTACTTGGCCCAGCCCACCTCCCTTTTTCACATCTTAGAATATTCAATATTATTTCAATTGATTCTCTCGCCATAAGTCCAGGTCCCTATCACCCCTTGCTTACAACTTTTTGCTTTAAGGTACCTAAAGTTAATTTGAAGCTAGCATCAACGTAATAGCACTATTTTCAAAGGCACAGAGCTCAAAATTGCTTTCTAAATGCAATGGAAAACACTCGTGACATTTGTTTAAGGGAAACAAGGTAATAATGGGAAGACCTTTTTCAAAATTCAACTGTTTTTAAAATGAATTGTTTAGGTACTCTAGCTAATTTGGCAGGTTATTCACTAAAATTTGCATCCCGGTGCACATTGGCATCACCACAAGGTGAGGGTCCAGGAAAGGGTCCCACCTCAAGGGTATATAAGGACTTAAGGAGCAGACCTTCCCTTTTCATTTTGAACCCGTACCTTACTACCTTTTGGTCACACAAAAAAATCATAATCGGCTTACTAGGTTAAACAACTAATTCATACTAAAAAAACTCTCAAACTCTCTCTTTATCAAACACGGCCTTTAGTTTGTGTTGGACTAATACTTCCATCGGTCCAATTAACGTTACTAGTTGATTAGTAAGTAATGCCTATTAGTTTTTCAGATTGGAGAGAGCCCTTTGATCTTAAAAGAGGATGGTTATTGTGGGCAACAATTGGTCTTGTTGGAGCACTGGTTGCCATTGGACTGACAGGGGTGGCAATGTCTTTTCTCAATAGTGACCCCCCACAGAGAGAGGTTAGAAGATGCTTCATCATTTACTATGCTTTCCAAATTTACTCTTCTGCAGTCTGTACTAAATCATTGTGACGCAATTTCTCATATTCTTGTGCTCCCAAAAACTTTTATAGAAGATAAATATACGGAGTATTAAATAGGGCATATTATTAGTCTTTCAAACCTTCTTATTCTTATATTCTAGAGCATTCTCAAAAGGTAAGCAAACCCAAGAGAGGCGACTATTTAGGAACAGCAGTATTTGGGCTTCAATATGATGATATTATGCATGTATACCTCTACTAGGAATGAAACATAATTAAGAAAATGAATTTTATATTTTTTTTTGGAAATGAGACGTGTAACTTGTATATCATCATAACACTCTTGTTTCAGGCTGATGCTCTAGTTCGTTTGCTTCCATTGATTGGCTCGTCAAGTATCAGGTAACGATCAAAGATTGTGCTTTTTTTGTGCACCTAAAGACAAATCTGACATCTTATAGTTTTTTCTTTGCTTTTAAAAATGTAGCACTATAAGTCTATTGGGTATCACTGGCATCCTTGCTCCAGTTCTTGAAGAGACTGTGTTTAGAGGATTTCTCATGGTCTCTCTTACAAAGTGGTATTCTTTCAATTCTTAACTTTAATATCAGGTTGATGCTTCTATGGATTATGTATGAGTTAAACCTCAACTCTTGAGGATCTTTTTGGGGTGAGTGATAGAGATCTCCAGAATTCACAACAATTTCAGTAAAGATTATCAAGAAACTGTAGAAAAAACTTTATTGATGAAGGTATCAATTACAGAAAGAGAACAGAAAGGCCGAAGCCACCCAAAGCCGAAGCCCCAAAAGATCGAGATGTTCAGTCTCGTATCCTTCCCAGTCCCAAGACCAAATGTCTAAAAGCCCTCCTTCGTATTTCTCCCTCCCTCTATTTATACTTACTTATGGGCCAGCCCAATACTAACTAGTACCTAGCCCAGGACCCTTTAACATCCTATCACAAATATTAGTTATACTTCTATTATTATACTAATGGGCTCCTATCATATCTCCCCCCTTGAAAAACCACCTTGTCCTCAAGGTGGGTGATAGGACACAACTTTGATCTTGAACTTCCTCTTCATCCTGGAGCCTCTTCCTTCCCAATATCTCCCAGATTGCTGAACCAGAAGCTTCAGTACTTGTTCCTTCAAAATCACAAATGGTGCTGCTGCAGAAGCTAGGTCGAGTACAATTTCAATGGATGCAGTAGACTTCAAGCACTCAGTAGCTACAAGTGTTTCCCTGTTTTCATGAGACTCCCCAAGGATTGTAACTTCCGAGACTATCAATGTGCTGGATGTAGATTTAGTGTTACTCAAGTTGCTCAACTCCTTGTCTGCAACAAGCTTTATGCAAAGATCTCCATTTTTCATCCATTTTTCTCTACGGCAGCTAGTATCAATGACAGAATGATTTGTAATAGCAGGATTATTCTCATAAAACTTAAACAACCGACAGCAGTTGTGCACCACAGTGCTCTCATGCGGTTTCAGATTATCTAACCGCCAGAGTCCTAAGTCTAGGAAGTTTTCTTCTTTCTGTTCCCTTATAAGAGACCCAGTAGTTCTTGCCGCCACAGAATGAGCTCCAGGGACTGGATCCTGATGAACTTCGGGCAGAATAAGCATGAGCATATTGGATTCCTTAAGAGTGTTCACCCCACCAAACTCATTTATGTCATCAACCTTTTCTTCAACACTGCTACCAAAAGTAACATTATCAGCCCCCTTCAGTCCCATACCTAAGGAGCCCAAGGATAGAATCATGACACTCTTATGTTCATTAGCATCCCTTATGCTCTTTCGAACTGAATGTCCGACGTAGGCCAAATTTTTATCCCCATACCATCCATCTTCCTCAGAAAGTACTGTTAAAAACTTCCTGACCTCACCCCCATATTTTCCAGGAATGAATTTGGAGAGCCCAAATTCATTGCTATGAGGTGTTCTTCTATCATCTTTGCGTTTTCCAGCCAAAGGCATGAGGGCAAAAGAATTAACAGAGCTCTGGAAAGTTTCTATCCTTCTGGCAGCAACATAGTTCTTAAGAGCCATCCACTGTGAGAACCTTGTGAAGAAGTCAAAAACATCATGAAAGAATAAAGCTGCCATAGCAAAGAGATCTCCTCTCATGAGATAACTTTCAGGTGCTTTAATTGGATTCTGCAAGTCAAGCTTGGAATAGCCAGGTAGGCTCTCAACCCATGGCTGCCATTCTGCATCATGTACTCCTGAATATCCTAAAACCATTTCCTTTGCTTTCTGAGGTTGTTGACTTTTGACAAGAACATTCTTATTTTCATCTTTCTTATTCTTTTGCTTGATTACAAATTCAGTTGACATCTGCAAATCAGTAAAAATTCCTTCTGATGACAATGGATGATGATGATTAACTAGCGAGCTGGGCACTGTGGTACTCAATTTCGTACTGGAGGAAATTCTTCGTGACTTTGATGAATCTCGTCTTACTGTCTTCCCTGTCTTCGGCCAGCGTTTGGGTGGGAATTCCTTCATCAAATCTTCCTTTAGAGCCTCCCAGCTGTCTTCTCCCTTATGAAAATCCCACCATTGAAACCAGCCATCTGCGGCTTCCCCCATTGCCTTTGCTGCCATGTCCACTTTAAATCTTTCTGCAATAGTGTGGGTTTGGAAATATCTCTCCATCTTCTCTATCCATTCATATGCTTCTTCCTCGTAGAACAGAGGTAATTCCTCCTTCTTTGAAATAGCTGACTTTAGAGAAACAGCTTTAGAATAAGATAGGGAACTGTGAGAGTCCTTTGATGACAAAGATGATGATTCTCCCCTCCCTAGCTTCTTTCTTGAACGCGTACTGATGCCCGTTGAAAAAGTCTGAAGCGAAGAGTGATGATAAGAATGATGAGAAGTGTTCTGCAAAGAGTGATGGTGATGCGAATGGTCGGAATTTCTTTCTGATTCCCTTGAACCGACTGATTTTCGCGAGTGGCTCGAGTGGTGATGGCGAGGTGAATGATGATGGCGAGTAGTGGGATGCGAGGAACGATGCGATAAAGTCTGCGCCTGGTGAGAAACAGTTCGCGATTTGGACTGCGATTCCGTCTGCAACTTTGGCGATTCCTTCTGCGACTTGGACCTCGACCGATCTCCAGGTCTTATGCGAATACTCTGTTCTTCCGATTCCTCTGGTTCTATCAGATGTTGCGTACGTCCATGATGAGAGTCTCGATGCGACCTACGTGAAGTGTGCGATCGATTTCGCGAACAAATCTGAAGTTGGTTCTGCAAATCGGTGAAACAAGCTCGGATCGCTGCTTCCATCGCTGCTATATTCGTCGCCATATTAACTTGCATCTCCTTGGTCTTTCGATTCAGATTTTCAATTCTTTCTTCCATTTGTGGCGTCATGTAGAAATCCTCCTCCATGGTACCAATGATTCAGATTCTCGGTCTCCAGGAAATAACGGCTCTGATACCAATGATAGAGATCTCCAGAATTCACAACAATTTCAGTAAAGATTATCAAGAAACTGTAGAAAAAACTTTATTGATGAAGGTATCAATTACAGAAAGAGAACAGAAAGGCCGAAGCCACCCAAAGCCGAAGCCCCAAAAGATCGAGATGTTCAGTCTCGTATCCTTCCCAGTCCCAAGACCAAATGTCTAAAAGCCCTCCTTCCTATTTCTCCCTCCCTCTATTTATACTTACTTATGGGCCAGCCCAATACTAACTAGTACCTAGCCCAGGACCCTTTAACATCCTATCACAAATATTAGTTATACTTCTATTATTATACTAATGGGTTCCTATCAGTGAGCTAGACCTAATTGGTCCCACCTACTTGCATCTATGCTTCTGATAGAAAACCCTTGAGAAATTTATTCAGATACTGTAAATTTCTCATCCTTCTCTCCTGTTCCTTTAGTACTACCCTGTTTACATCTGGTTCCTATCAGCTTCACTTGTATTTATTTTCAAATGTGTGCCCCCCTCTTTGCAGGCTACCTACACCACTATCCATCGTTCTAAGTGCTGCTGTATTTTCTGCTGCACATCTTACTCCTGCAGAATTTCCTCAGCTTTTCGTACTTGGTATTTGTTTCCATATCTTGGCATCTTGCAGTTCTAACATTTTAAGGAAGGGAAGATTCCCGAAATAGGACTAAAACAGTTCGAAAATTCCAAAATAGGACTGTCATGTTTTTTATTTCCAAAATAGGAGTAATTACTGCCAAATTTGGAAAATACTGTCATGTTTGAAGTCTGGTACTGCCAAAACATGGCAATAATTAGTCCTATTTTGAGAATAAAAACATGACGGTCCTATTTTGGAATTTTCAAACTTTTTTAATCTTATTTCGGGTAATATTCTTTTAAGGAATTTGATATTTTTTTTGAAAAAATGATTTTAACCATGTTGCATGGAAATGTAAGAATCATGCAGAAATGGGAAACACCATCTTTTAATATAAAAACAATTGTTTAGAGAGCTTCCAAAGAGTTCGTGTAGAGTTTCGGAAACGGAAATGTACTCTTCTCCCCAAGAGTTTCCGTGCTAGATAGGGTTTTAAACATAATGTCATCCATTAGCCTCACAATTAATGTCAATTATATTTAGGGACTGCTCTGGGATTTTCATATGCTCAAACACGAAATCTTCTAACACCAATAACAATTCATGCTTGTTGGAACTCTGGAGTTATTTTGGTTCTCACCTTCCTCCAGGTAAACTTATTACTCGTTTACTTTACAGCTGCACAAAAAATCTTCTCAAAAGCGCTGGGCTTGCCTTGGCCGCTTATGCGTTTTCTTTCAGTTGACCTGAGCCTAATTTTTTAAATTCACAATACAGGAATGATAGTTAAGTTTTTGAACATACTATTTTCCTAACGAACCCATTAACGATTAAGAGACTATGTTGCACGGAAACGCGCGAAAATGAAACGGGAAACGCCAACTTTTGCTCAAAAAAACGCTTGTTTGGAGAGTTTCCAAAGAGTTTCCGTAGAGTTTCCGAAACGGAAACGTACCCTTCCCCGAGAGTTTCCGTGCTACATAGTTAAGAGATTAGATGAGTCCTAACCTTAAATAAAAAAGCCTTGATAATCAGGTGATGGTTTATATCCTGATATGATGAGATATTTAACACCAACCCATCTGACCGACCCAAGACCCGCTTAAGTTCTTGGCCCTAACTTGCTGCCCGCCCAGCATCTAGAGTTACGATCAACCTTATCATTTCAATGCTTCAATTCTAACAAATATATTAGATTCCCACTTGCATCCCAGTCTGTTTAATATATTATGTACTTCGTATATATTTTTTCTTTGTAGCTTCAAGGATATGATATCAGGGAAATAATACAAGCATCCTGATCCAAGTCAAATTTAAGGGGTGAGTTGAAATTTGCCAGTTTTGCTTATTTTCCGTTTTATCTTCATTGATGAACAGACAAGTTCTACTGTGTATTGAGATCAAACGATATGAAATAATAACTTTTTATTTCAGTATTATGTACTACGTATTTTATTATTCACATATTATTTATTTTTCTGATCGTTGATAAATCAAAGTGGTTATCTTTGCACTATGTCAAAAGGAGGTAAATAAAAATTCACTTGATGGAGTTGATGGTTCCATTTTTATTTTCCATCATTGCATACAAATTGACAAATTACAGAAACTTGTGCGCATTTAGAATCCCCTAAAATGACTACTATGGCTCTGTTTGCAAACACAACTAAAAAAGCACTTCCCAGCTTTTGACTTAAAAAAGCTAAAAAGGATGTTTTCAAATGACAACTTCTACTTAAATGAATTACTTAAAAGCTAAAAGTTAGAATCTGCTTTTTACTTTTTCTATTACACAAAAAGCATTTATTTTACCAAACACCACCAACTTTTACTTTTCAAAATCACTTTTTTCTCAAACACTACCAACTTTTACTATTAATCACTTTTTTACCAAATCATTTAAAAAAGTTAAAAGCACTTTTCAGTTGGGTTTGCAAACAGAGCCTATGTCCCCCCTAAATATGAAAAGCTATCTTGAAATATTATTGCTATATTTCTGCAATTGTAGTTGGTAGTATTTTTCACGTATGACACTAATTACTCTTATTTTGTGACTAAAATTATGAGTAAAAACACTACATTTAAGATGTTACATTTTTTTATCGTCAAAACGGATGACTTAAATTATTATCACAACATTCAGATAGGGGGTAACGACAAAAGGACCACAGGCAACCGTCAGCCCTTGAACCAGACTTAGAGTCAATCACCTACAAAAAATCAATATAACTCGTTGATCCTATAATGGACATAAATGAACCAACGACGGTTAAAGCAGACCTCTCATCACCCAATCCTAATGCAAGAGTCTTACAAGTTACAACAATAAAAGTAACCAACAGAAAAATAAGCAGTCTGATCATGAAAAATAAATCTCAAGCAAACAATAAAATTAAAAAGTTGCTTCCAAACTTTATACTCTCCTGCACTCCATGGCGGCGGTTCAGGAGGGGGATGATCCAGCAGTACTGTAGTTTTTTGCTCACCTTGCTTCTTTTGCATCATGTTCTCTATCAAACCTCCTTTGTCGGTACCTAACATGGATGACCTCAACTCCAGATGTGTTCCAGTCGCTAGCCCTATGTTTCGTCCATGAACTTTGGTCGCTTTAGACCAAGCATCCGTCTTCCATCCCTGCACAACCTTCGGCCGCTGGAGACCAAGCATCATCTTCCCTCCACTTAATCTCGCAAAAGCAAAAGAAGAAAAATAGCCGCACAATTGATGGCGGAAGAAACCCTGTACGTCTAAGCCCACCTGTGGCGGCCGCTCCTAGTTACAAACGATAGCGGAGGAAAAAACTCTAGCGGTGGAAAGCCACCCTAGATAGAGAAAGAACCGAATATTAATTGCAGTTTTGCTTTAAACAACTCATCTATATTTAAGATGTTACATTTGTAAATTACTTTTATTTTAGTCATAAATCTGTAATTATTTCTTAAAACATCGCATATGTGGTCCAATTGCAAGTTTCAAGCATCACTGGCATCACCCAATTTGCATTGAATTTATACAATGTTATTTTTGTACTTTAATAAAATATTACATCAAAAATCATTTTTTTACCTAACTCTTCAACTTTTTTTTTTTTTAATTAATCACTTTTATTCTAATACACTAAACTTTTACTACGAAGTATTTTCTCCAAAATTATTTAAAACAATTAGTTTTTTAAGTAGAAGTAAATGCAAACACTCACATAAGCGTGCACGTTAAAAGGTCAGGTAATTTTGAGAGTTGAGAATCCTTGGATTGGATAATTCATGCGTGGATGAAATAAATATGTGTTCAAATGAGTTATATAAATAAATGTGACTCTATAACCCAATATATCGTGACTCTACGTCTCATTTATCTATTAATAGATAAATGGATATTTCAACTCAGCGTTGGATTAAGGGTTGGATCATTCATGTGTGGATGAAATAAATGATCCATTTATCTATTAATAGTTCAAATCAGTGTTATAGTCGCAATTTTTTTACTTTTGTTATATATTTGAATAGTTGAAATATTAATTTATTATTTTTATAGTATGTATTAGGGGTTTTACCATGAATATTACGTAGTACTAAAAATTTGAAAATAGACAAAAAAGTGACATTTTTTTAAAAATTTCAAAAATGTGACTAAAAATGAGTGAAAAGACCATTTAATCCCTACTAGACCATCTAATTCGCTATAGTGACCTATCCTACTGTGACTTTAGCTTAGTGACCAATTAAACATTCGCCCATTGAACAATTGACATAGTGACTCTCGCGCAGTGACTATTTTCCACGATGACTCTCGTTCAGTAACCACCGCTGAACAATTACAATTAAACTCGCCCAACACCCGTCAGTGACCTAATTTTCGCCAACAGATAATGACCAACACTACTCTGCCGCAATCGCCCTAACAATTACTACCCGCCTTTCCTCCACCATCATCCACGACGCACAGCCCACCCCCACCCCTACCCTCACCATTCTAGCTTAGCCCCCGACCCCCTACCTAGCCCAAGCCCCAGCCTCCCATGCACCTACCACTAGCCTCCACCACTGCACAAGAATGCCTAAAGCCCTAACCACCGCACCACAACCACCATAAATCATCTCCACCCCCACCACTACACCACCTTAGTTGCGACCAGATCTACATGCTAGTACACATCATCTAAGTTGCCACTGGATCTGCCAGAACTCATTGCCTATCGTCATCCTCGTCGCTCTGTTGGAGATGAAGGAGAAATGACATGTCATCTCCAACTCGTATCCAATCGGTTCACATAGATATAGAAGAAGAAGAATAGGGCGGCGGCGGAGCTAGGGCGAGAACACACAAGCGATGATAGAGAATGAAAAAGGAACGACGGAGATGAAGAAGCGATGACAGCGACGACGACAATGGATGTGGTGACTGAGCTGGCGGCGATGGAGACACGACGATAGATGCGGCGATGGAGCCGGTGGTAACGATGGATGCGGTGACTGAGTTGGGATTTAGGGGTTGATTTCTATTATTCCGTATATCACAAGGGTATTTTTGTCCATTGATTTAAGTAATCCTATTTTTGTCCAAATTCAAAATCACTCCTACTTTTGGGTTTTAGAAGCGTAGGAGTCTTATACCGGTCATTCTTTCGTTACGGCAGCAGTACACCCACTTATGCATGTGTTTTATTTGTCTTGGAGTCTATATTTATTTGTAACATTTTACTTGGGCTTTATCTCTTTATTTTAGCCGTGTATAGTGCTAGTCTAGCTGTAGATTTTATCAATTTAGTTACGTAGCCTTGTAAATGCATGTATAAAATGTATACGGATGAACGGATGGAATACATCAAATAAACTCTGTTTATCACATCTACGATTTCTTCATGGTATCAGAGCGGGTTGCTCGACTGATCCTTTGAACGACGGAATCCTGACCTGAGTATTCTCCTACGGAATACTTCGACTGAAGCTATGACGACCGACGACAATAGCCACACTGAACCGGTGAGAAGGAAGATCAATGATCTGTCTTCCCCTTACTACTTATCGAGTTCGGATTTTCCCGGACTGAATATTTGCGGAATGATGCTCAAGGGAGAGAACAATTATCGAGAACGAGCGGTGGCTAATGCTGTGACCGAGACTCATGGCGATGGAGGCAGCGGGCAGAAAGGGGAGGATCGTATACCGGGCTTCACCAAAGAGCAGTGGCAAGGAATCATTAAGCTACTGGAAAAGAGTAAGATGACCGGCCCCAGTACAACTGAAAAATTGACGGGTAAGGAGACTAAAATTAAATGGCTACTGGACTCAGGTGCTTCGTATCATATGACGAGTTGTGCACACTCATTGGTACACAAAGAAACATTACCACCAGTGACGGTGGTACTGCCTAACGGAGATGTTACTCATGCGACTAGCATGGGAGATGTGAAACTATGTGCACATACTACACTTAGGAAAGTTTTATTGGTGCCTGGATTGAAGTGTAACCTTATTTCTATAACACGATTAATTGATGATCAAAATTGTGATATATATTTTACTAATCAGTTATGTGTGATACAGGACCTGCCTATGAGGATGCTGATTGGAGCGGGTAGACGACAAGACGGAGTATATTATTTTCACAGTTTTGATACAATTTCTGCACACCAAATAAGGAAGCATGACTCAAGCGACTTGTGGCACTCTCGGTTAGGGCACCCGTCTTTGAAAGTGATGCGTAGTATTTTTAGTTTGAATAATTTTGGTACTATAGATGAGTTGAATAAAGTATGCGATGCTTGTTTAAGAGGGAAGCAAACTCGTGAAGTTTTTCGAATTAATAATACTAGAGCAATTGAACCTTTTGAGCTTGTTCATTGTGATGTATGGGGTCCGTATCGGTTATCCTCTTCGTGTGGTGCACATTATTTCTTAACTATTGTTGATGATTTTTCTCGAGCGGTTTGGGTGCACTTGATGAAATCTAAAGATGAAGTGACAAATATCTTTAAACAATTTTGTGCTATGACTAAACGACAATTTGATAAGAATGTAAAGGTGATGAGGAGTGATAATGGAACAGAGTTTATGAGGTTGAAAAATTACTTTCTTGACAATGGTATAATTCATCAAACCTCGTGTGTTTATACTCCGCAACAAAATGGACGGGTGGAACGAAAACATAGACACATTTTAGAAATGGCACACACTCTACGATTTCATGCAAATTTGCCTCTTGATTTTTGGGGGGAGTGTGTATTGGCGGTAGGATATTTAATTAATCGGTTGCCTACCCCGTTGCTTGCACATAAGAGTCCATACGAGATGTTGTATAAGAAAGCACCCTCTTATGATCATTTACGGGTTTTTGGGTGTTTATCTTATGCACATGTTTCGAATGTACGTGATAAATTTAGCCCAAGGAGTGTGAGGTGTGTTTTTCTTGGGTATGCTCACTCCCAAAAGGGGTGGAAAATGTTTGATTTGGACAACAATCAACATTTCATCTCTCGTGATGTGCATTTTGAGGAAAATTCTTTTCCGTATAAAGAAGAGGCAGGG